CCCCCCCGCCTTTGCTCCGTCAATTGCACGGCGGCCCATTAGAGTCTGTTCAGCGACCTTCTTACAAACTCATTTTTCAATGTTTTTGGCGGGAGAGGGCGAGCTGCAGCACCAGACTACGGGAAAGGGTTTAAAGAAAAGCACTAAAGCGCAGGAGCATCGTGATCAGTAGGGGGCGTAGTAATCCAGTACTGCAACCGTTTGGAAAATCGAGTCATTCTAGTTGTGGAGGGTAGGCAGAACCAGTTAGTTCATTGGTAGACGTTCCCCACCTCCTTAAAATCTTAATTTAACTTGGATTTCCGCTCCTCCTGCAATAGATATATCCTGGTCTATGACCGTAATAAAGATTTGATTTGATTTGCAAGAGATAATTTTGTTTTAGTGGCATCTCACCCCAATGAATATATTGTCCTTTTGTTCTCCTGTTGTATTTCCCTTGTATTTTCGTCTCTCCAGTTTTAATAAACCCGACACTGTCTCGTTCTCTATTTAATTAGCTACTGGCTTTTTATTTCATTGTTTGGACTTTTCTAAGGAGATGAAGCTACAGTGTCTCCCCTTCACCCCGCCTGATTTACAGGTTTATTTTCTATTCAGGTGAATGCCACCCAAGCTAGGAAACCTGGCTGCCTCCCCACACTCTTTCTCTCCAATACACTGAGTTTTCAGTTCAGCTAAGTTTGTTTAAATATGGCCTCCCTACGATTGATTTCGCTCCCCCAACTTTATGTCAGTTGTATATTGCAGTTCTTTTTTGTAAGCATTTGGAGTAAAATATACTCCTATCATATGGAACTAATCCCCAACTCCCAGGCCATTCTTTCTGGGGAAAAAGTTCCCAACTTCTAATCAATATGTTTAAACTTAAATTATCGAACAGCACTTGCCAAAGATTTTATAAATTATTGTCCAGTTAGAAGACAGGAAATCAGACGTGATTTGCACAACACTTTTTAAAAAAATCCACAATTTTAAAAACAGGAGTGCCTAGGGAACTCCTGAAATATGCAACCCTCCCCAAACAGACTGAACTACTGTAGCCTGCCTACAAATGGAAATCTTTAGCTATTTCATTCCTACCACAGCCAAGCCTACACTGGACACCGCGAAATTAACTCCTGAGTAATCGCAGCCTGTCTTGGACTGCCAATCTGGGAGGTTGAAAAGCATCCACCTATCGCATCCCCGTCCTTGACTACATAACCGCTTTATTCTTTTCATGGGTGCAATCTCGGCACGGAGAATTCTTGGAATTAAAAAAAATAAAAATAAAAAAAGCTCCGAGTTCCAAATCCTTAGACGAAAGATTCCACCCATCTTCCCCAAGCATCAACTTGCCCCTAGCTCCGCCCCTTTGACTTCAAACATGGGTGCTTCGGGATCTAGGCGACACATGCGTACTCCGAAGAAATCTCCCCCCACCCACTTCACCCTCGTGCCGCGGGGCAAGTTCAGCACCTTTCCTATGGCCCGCCACAGACCAGTTTGGGAGGAGGCCGGAGGGGCCGGAAGAGTTTACCTGCCAAAAGCGGGGCTGATGAAGGCCGGGTGCCGAAATACAGCCGCTCCCAGGAAAGTGCTGAGGCCTAGCGGGGTGCTGCTGGGGGGCAAGGCTGCAGAGCCCGGAGGTGGAGGCGGGAGGCTGGGAAAGGCGGCGGCGGCGGCAGCGGCGGCGGCGGCGGCCGTCCAGGCGGAGTCGAGAGCTGGGTGGTGAGGAGGGAAAGGACTAGCATCAAGGTAGGGACTGAGCGGGTGAGATGCCGACAGCGGGCCAGGGAAAGGCAGGCCGGGTGGGTGGCTCTGAGCGCCGGCCTTTTCCCTCTTCCGCCATTTGGCTCTCCGGTTCTGGAACCAGACCTGGAAGCCAAAAGAAAACAAGGGGCAAGGCGATTAGTACGCGCGGCCCTTCCCGCTCCTGTTCCTCGGCGGCCAGCAAGCGATCTTCAGGAAGGCCGACAACCCGCCTCCGGACCGTCCTGAGACTTTGCGGAGGAGAGCGAACGAGAGACCGGCTGCTGACCTCGCCAAACCCGTCCAGGAGGGGAAGAGGGGATTCATCCGCAAAGCGTGCCTGGGTGGCTTCTCCAGAAAGCCACCAAGTAACCTGGCGCCTTTCTACTTTCCCAGAAGAGGTGGAAAGAAGATGCATCCATCTCATGGAAGCAGCTGTGAAATCTGTCTAATAGACTATGGATTTCTCATCTGTCCTCTAGAAGGAAGCAAAGCAAATTGGTCCTTCCATCTATCAAGAGTAGAAGAGCCAAGGGTCTTCAATCAAAAACTCCTTCACTCTGCATACATCCAGAACAAAGGCTCACAGCTGTACAAAGTCACCTAAACTTAAGATACTGGGCAGATTTTCATTGTTTCCTGTGAAACCAATGGCGCAGACATCTAAATTAAAGGCTTTAGCAAATGGAGGGATACATTAACTTATTCTCAAGTTCTCCTACTCAAAAGTAAAAACCCAACTGGACAGGACTACTTTTTATGATATCATTAATGCAGCATTTCTTTTCTCTTTCCTTTCATCCTCGTTGGGGGGCTTAAACTGTTAGCCCCTGGCTGGCAGAGACATTTTTTCCCCTCCCTCTCTCTTTTCCATGTGTCAAGGAAACTTGGGGGTATATAAACAATAAATTATTCAGATCATATATGGCCTGCTGATATCCAGGATTGATCTGTCCCTGAAAAGCAGACAGAGCCACTGGAATGACCTTTTGAAATACATGTATATATTTCTCCTTAGTAGAAACAGGTGCTTTGTTGACTGGGCCTCTATTGGAGGAGTTTCTCTGATGTAGCCTTTTTCTGCCTGATCTACTCTAAATGTGCAACTCCCATCTATTCCCAGATAGAACAGCCAATGGTCGAGGACAGTGAATCTAGCTAGGGCTGACGGGAAGCGTATAATATAAGACAAATGCTGCAATATTCAAGAAGCAATATCTAATGTTTCCCTAATGTCTTCAAAACTTTACACATAACTTTCTCTATCCTTCCCTTTCTCAGTGCCAATGGTTTGACAAACACTTGAATGTTTTCAGTAACATAGGTGGCAGGTTAAGCATGTTAAAGTTTCTAATACTTGAGAGAATTAAAAATAATAAATAAACTTTGCAGCTATTCATCCTCATCCTCATTAACAATCTCTGCAGCTGTCCGCACTGCTAGCTGCCTTCCTCTTGCAGATAACTCTTGTTCTTTCATGGGAAAGAGCAAGAGAGCAAGCTTCTTCTTTTCCTGTGTGCTTTTCTTTAACCAAAACTTGGGTAAATGGATTTCCATAAAGTAACTCATATTAGTCATTGGCATCTTTTATCCTGTTTTAAAGTGATAGAGCTTAAGTAGCATAGTAATATTAACAATTACAACAATGTGAAAGGAAAGGAGAGGGGAATTTGCTATCTATGGATTTTGATGCCACTTCAACCAAATAAAAGAATTTGAGAAAGAGATAGAAAGGAGGAAAGACATTATAGCTAGCAAAAAAGTGTGGGAAAGAGGGGGCCTTCCTTTCTGTTTTGCTCTGACCACCTGCAAGAAGGCCTTCCGTTTAGCCCTACCACAGCCAGGCCAGGCACTGAGGCTTAAGGCAGTGGAAATTTTGGCATCTCCCGGTGCGTCTTTCCTGTTTCCAACTCAATTAGCAACATGCCCCCCCTCCCGGAAATTCCACCTCTTATTGAATTAATAAGTCTGAGAATACCCAAAGGTAAACCAAGGGATTCTAATAATTCATATTCTCCTTAATTACATCTTCTCTGGTGAATGAGAAGGAAGGGGAGGGCGAGAAAGAAAGACGGGTGATGAAGGGGAAGGGGGAGTCTCAGTCTCTTGGTCGCTCTCTTTTTTAGTTATTTAACTTTCCCACGACTCATTCCCCTGAGCTGAAAATCCTGAGTTGCTGTCACATCTCTGTTTGACAATAGAGAAATGTGTCAACAGAGAGGAGGGAACCGGGCTCTTCATTAGCTCCTCTAATGCGAGAAGCTGTTGTGTATTAAATGAGCCATATGGAATTTATGATGCTTTTGCTGCGCTTGGCTTTCTGTGTAAAGTGATTTGCTCAGCGCAGAGCCCAAAGGCCGAGCCATCTGTTGGGGGTATGGTTGGCCTCCTGCACGCCAGAGTCTCTGTTGAAGAGGCAACTCTGCCCCCCCCAACCCATTTGAATAGCCTGGCATGCTCAAGCCAAAAGGAAACCAGGAGCACTAGCTGGCTCTCAGCGGCCAGGGCGGGGGCTGAGAACTGAACCCCCTGCCCTCTTCTGGGGCCCTCTTTGCTCTTGCACCAACACATCTGACTTGCCCTTTGAGACAGGTTTGGACAGGCTAAAAATTGCCATGAGGTGTTTCACTGCAGTGGGGAAGGAAAGGAGGCTTTGTTGGGGATCTGTTCTCTCCTGGACATTTTCTTGGAAAAAAATTGGAGAAGAACGTGGCAATCCTGTGATCATCCCCTCCATTTTTGAACTTAATTTGTGGTGGGGGGAAGAGGATGAGACCAAGAGGATGAAATCAATGACTCAAAGCCTCCTCTTTTGCCCTACTGAGGACTCCCCTGTCCAGCTGAGCTCTGGCTCCCACACCTTCAATTTCCAATCCTCCCCAGACTCACCTGCACTCTGGCTTCTGTCAGATCCAGGCGCATCGCCAGCTCTTCCCTGGGAGGGAAAGAAGTACAAGACAGGTGCTCAGGTGAGACCCTGAAAGGGGTCCGGAAGAGAAAGAGATGAGGGGTAGATAGACCCAGCAGGTGGGTGTGAGGTAGAAACTGCGGAGGGCCCAAGGTTTAATTCCTTCTGTTCCTCCCTTGCTCAGATCAGAGAGAAGCCCCGTCTGCGCCTCCACATCAGACTAGGTCCCTGCCTTTTGCCTTAGAGTCTTCTGCTGGTGGTGGGATGTCCCACACTTTGAGGTTTCCCTGGCCCATCCTTCCTCTCACTTCTGGATTAAAGCAGGAAATACTTCACACTAAGACCAGAGCTGGCTGGTATCAGGTGGACAACACAGGCTTTACCTGTTGCTCTTCACCAGCTCATTTTAATTTCTCAAAATTCCCTTTTTTCTACAAAGAGAAAGAAGGTGCGAAATAGAGGGCAGCGTTCCCCAGGAGGGGCTAAGCCCGAGCCCACCTCCCCTCCGGCGTCTCCAGCCAAGGCCTTTGAGGAAGGCTCCCAGGCAGTATCCTCCAAATACTGCGCCGCAGCACAGGGGAGACCCATTGAGCTGCAACACGAGCCCTTCATTGCGGTGATTATTGCAACAATTAGAGCAAATCGGAAACCATTAGGATGTTAGGAAACTGCTCATAATCTGTTTACTTCGAATCCGGGCGACTCCCGGGATAATTGGCTCTCCCTCCGCTCGGAAGAAAAGCGCAGTGCCGGCCAAAGTGGGAGCCTGGCCGGGCTCGAGAGGAAAAAGTGCCCAGCGCCTTCGGGCTGCCAAAAGGGAAGCCCCGGACCGGCCGTTGGGTTTCCTGCAGGAGCGATTTAAAGAACCCGGCGCATTTCTGATCTGATACGCGCCTGGGGAAGCGGAAAAACCGACATCCATCCCCATTTTCACAGACGGGGTTTTTGGCACTGAAATCAGGCTGCTTGGTGTGCTCCGCTGACCCATTTCCAGGGAGAAGACGGAGCGATTTTCTGGATTCTGGCCAGGCTAGAAAGGTAGCGTGCATATTAGTAACGAAGACGGGCATTGTAGCGCCACAAGCGAGTTTGACTGACGGTACAGAACAAGCTGCTATAAAACACTAGCGACGAAACGGCCTTAGCAAGGGATCCTGTCCGTTTTTTCCATCATCCAAACGTCGTTCCTCTTCCCTCGGAAATAACATGCACTGTGGCAGGTTAACGAATTTAAAAGGACACCCCTCCCTCCCTCCCTCCCTCCCTCTCTCTCATTCTCTCTTTCTCTCTCTCTCTCAGAAGAGAAGCAAAGTCGAAGAGGAATCCCAGACTGTTGGCAAGAAGGAGAAGAGTGAGTAAACTGCTGGCTTTGCAGATGGAGACTTTCTTTGCAAATCCCAGGAAAATTACCTACGAACCTGGTAGAGTAAGACCCCACTCCGGCAAAGAAAAACATGAGCATCTTTTCCCCCACACTGCCCTTAAGGGAAGGGACTGAGTTAGGTTTTATTCGGAGCGCTTACTTTTGCTTTTCTGTTCGCAAAAATGGACGAGGGAATTCCTAAAGGAAATGGCTG